TCAAGCCTAGCATGTAATCTGGCAAGACTCTGTCAAAAAAAAAAAAATGGCAGGGGATGGATGTAGCTCAGTGCAAAGGCTCTGGGTTCAACAAAATGAAACAAAGACATCCCACTTTACCTTGGTGGAGCAGAAGTGAATTGCTCTGCCAGAGACAAGAGAAGTTCCTGGTGCTAGACCTCAAGTAAAAAAGCAGAGTGGGGAAAAAAAAATAACCTAGTGGAGGTTATTTTATATAGCTGGAAAAGAGTCGAAGAGAAACATTCTGGTGGAGGATGCTGGGACTGTTGGCTATGTTGAGTTTGTTTAATACCTCCTCCTCTGCTTTCCACACTAAAACCCTCAGTTGGGGTGCAGTGGATTTGAAGGGCAGAGATAGCCAAGGCAGGAGATGTAGGAGGAAAGTGGGCTGTGTAGAGCACGGAGGCTGCATGTGGAGGAAGTGGAGACCCGCACAGACCATGACTGCAAGGGAAGTCCAAGCTCCCTCTGGGGGTGCTCAGAATTTACTCAGGCACACTAAATGACATGCACTGCCAGATGACTTTTGTCCCACGGGCCACTGCTCATCACCACAGCTTTAACGGAGCTCAGAGACAGGCCGGGGTGGGTGATCTCAGGGACATGGGGCTCCAAGAGTCCAGGGACACACGTGTGTCACACCAATAAGGTCTCAGAGAGGCAAGGAGAAAACGCTGGTCCCTCAAGTGCTTTGTACGAGACCCAGAGAGAAAATGACTTTATTTTCAAAAGAAAAGGATGGAGAGAATCATCCCCGGGCTGGCCAAATCTTCAGTAAAATCTCCCAGCTCGGCCCTTGCCCACGGCACCTGGGGTTTCCTGTGCAGCAGGCCAGGGTCCCAGTGTGTCAATGTCACGCACCAGCCGCAGCCTCTGAAATGTGCTGCAAACCAAAGAGAAGCTTTTAGATCTTCCTAACTTGTGGTATTGGCTGAGGTCCAGGCCAATTATAGCTACATCTCCAAGGTGAAGAGGGACACAGCAGACATCTGGGTTCCATTTATAATCCCAGCGCTCCAGGAGGATGGAAGGACTTGTGCACGGGTGCTGAGTGTGGAGCCCCTTGAAGGCCCTGTGTGGAAGGCTCTTAAAGGCCCTTTCTTGGCTGTCAGCCACCCAGTGGCAGGGCAGCTCAGGTCTGGCCACTCTACCTGGCCCGCAGGAGTGCTCCCTACCCTGCAGCCGATCAAAGGTATCCCAGTACCTTCCCTGCATGCTTATATGCAGGATCTGGGCAACCTGCAAATCCAAGAAATCAGCAGGAAACCTAAAGAGTCGTGCTCAGGTATGGACCTGGTGCTGCCCATGGGCAGTCATGGCTCTGAGTGTGAATGTGGAAGACAGCACCCAGGAAACTGGGGGGGAGTTGGGGAGCCCTGCAATTGTCTTGTCCAATCTGAGTGGAATTTTCATGGATACCTCCTTGATCTTAGGTTCAATTAGGTTCTATTAGTTCTGAATGCAATCTGGACACTAGGAGATAGAAATGGAGAATAAGGGCGATTGGCCTCCCATCTTCTCTCAAGGTTTTGGTCCTCTGGTCACAGGAGAGGGATAGAATGGGGAAAGGGAAAGGAAGACAGAGAAGTGGGGAATGAAAATGGAAGAAAGCATGGGAAAGAAAGAAGAGTTGGGGAGGGAAGTGATAGAGATAGAGATAAAGAGAAGAGAAGAGAGAGAGAGAGAGAGAGAGAGAGAGAGTCCCCATGATAAGTGTTAAGTCCAAGGAGCAAGGGCATCTTTCTGTTCACATACATGTGGGGTACACTGTGACTTCTGGGCACTGAGGACCCCTGAGAATGCAGTGGGCAGAAGGCATTACCCCATGGAGAAGTGAAGGAATCCAGAAGTCTGCATTACAGAAGGGGACCAGCCTCCAAGAAGAGAGTCTTGGCATTCATAGAAAACACAGGTTGGGCTTTACCTAAGACTTGTGTCATGAAGGGCAATGTTAATTGTCTGCCTATATGCAGCTGTCCTTCTGGACTGGCCAAGAGGAATATGCATCTTTTTGGACAAGGTGATTCACCTTCGGGAATGCACACTAGGAGATAATTCTGTGGCTATAACAAAATACCCGAGGCTGAGTACTTTATAAAGGAAAGAAGTTTACTTAGCTCTCAGTTGTAGAAGCTGGAAGTCCCAGATCAGAAAGTCTTATCAGTTTGGATTCTGGTGAGGGCCTCATATTGAGAGCAACTGCTTGGGTGAGACAGGAAACCAGAGGCAGGGAAGAGGTCAGCCTTGCTTTTTTCTAGTAACTGGCCCTTTGGGGACAAGTGGGGTTCTAAGAGAAGTACCTTCCAAGGGCACCCCTCTCCTGCCAGTGACCTAAACACCTCCTAGGCTCCACATGGTCAAGATTTCACACCTCAACATTGCCAGTCTGGCAACCATGCCTCGAACCCATCAGCTTCTTGGGGAACAGTGCTATTCTGGGGTGAACTGTGTCCCGCAAGGAGGTACATCACAGCTCTAATCCCAGGGACCTCAGAACATGATCTTCCTTGGAAACAGAGTTAAGATAAATTCATGCCAGAGTAGAATGGTCCTCCAACCCAATATGACTTGTGCCTTATTGGAGGAGACAGACAAGGGAGAGGCGACCTGGTGACTAGGGGTCAGGCTACAGAGAAGCAGCCCCAAACCAAGGGTCACCAAGGACTTACAGCCATCAGCAGCAGCCAGTAGGTATCAAGGAAAAATTTTTCTCTACAGATTTCAGAAGGAATGTGGCTCTGTGTGACACCTTAATTCTGGACTTCCAGCCTCCAGAGAAGCAAGACATGAAATGTCTGTTGTTCGAGACGCCTAGTTGGTGTGGTTTGTTAGGGCAGCCCTTAGGGAACTAATAAGAGTACCTTCAAATTTCCTACTTCATTGTTGACAAGAAGGGGGGAAAAACATAATCCATTTGCTTGTGAAAAATATTGGTGCTAATAGACAGTAAGTGAATTTCTGATGGTGGAATTTCAGATTTCAAGAAGGGTATCTCTGAGTGCCTGCTTGCCATGACCACTGAAAGGCCAAGTTTAGGTAGACTTTGAGACTGTTAGAGATAGCTCAGGAGTCTCTGAAGAAAGATGGCAGTGAAGAGAGTAATCTCTCTTCCATATATGTACATATATACAGTATTATATATATATATTTATTTACTCACTTGAGAAAGAGCTCTGTAGTTAACACAGACTGAAAGTCACTAGGTCTTGGCAGTATTTAACTCACACTAAAGGCAATATTTTGGTTCCTCTATCATTTCTGCAAAATGTGCTCATTACCATCCATGTTTACCCCTAAAGCATAGAGCTGGACATTTCCACCAAGAATCTCAGGTGAGGAAATCTGAACACAAAGCAGAAGACAGCATTATTTTTCCTCCTTTGCTTTTAGCTACTCTGATGGGCACAGGGGAAAGATTAGCTGTCTTTCTTTGTGCAAGTCTTTTTAGAATAGAAAAATCAAGATCTTTGTGTCTCAAAATGTGCTAGAAGACCGAAGAAAGTAAAAATATCTAGTTTATTCTACTTGTGGATTTATTGGCTGTCCTTTTTACTTATTTATTTTTTGCCATCGAGTGAACAGCGAGTATGATTTGCACTCATGAGATCCATACAGAAACACTCTTGAATATAAAAAAGAGAAGAGAAAAGAAAAAAAAAAAGGCTGATGCTGAAGAAGTAGCTTGCAATTGCAAAAGCAATTCCTCCTCCACCTTTATAGGTATGATCTCACTGGAAATCCGTAGCTATCCTGGGACACATGAGACCGGGTATCCCTGACAGATACTCTGGCCTCAGAGTATAAAGAGGCTGTGAGAATCCTCCCAGCCTGAGGCCAGCAATGAGGGAGCTGGGGATAACCAGCCTTCTCAGACTCCTGATTTCTGTGACAAATGAGTAGTGTTTTGGTTTTTCCTTCTACAAAGTGGCGAGGTAGAGAGCAATCTTAAAAGGTCAACAAGTATTTCTGCTACTTCTACCATAAAAACTTCAGTCACTCTCAGCTTTTGTCCTGTCTTTGTGATAAGCAACAAGTCCCAGGAAACACTGAATGCCACCTTCAATTCCCTTAAAAAATTCTCCTGCTAAGCATTTGAATCTCAAAATGCTCTTCGAATCATAATAGCTAATCACTCATCCACCCACTCTCTTCCTCCGGTGGAGACACGCTGTGACTCCCCACCAGCGTGCCCTGAGCTCCAAGCTCCCTGGGCTGGGTGGGGGGCAGACTCCCAAGCCCGGGATTCTGGAAGGTCCCAGGGGCGGAGGGTGTCTTTCCTTTCCTTTGTTTCCCCTTGAGATCTCATTTTTCTAGTTACAGGTCCAGCACGATGGCTCCACCGAAAAGGACCAGATGAATGTGGACTGGTCTGTTTAAAAAAAAGAAAAAAGAGAAAAAAAAAATATATATATATATATATATCTCCCCCCCCCCCGCTCTGGGCCTCTGAAAGTAAATTAAGGAGAGACACTTTGTAGCCTAAGGAAAAGCACCACGTCCAGGCTCCAAGCCCGGGGTCTTTGTTTTTGCGTCTAAATGAGTGGCTCGCAGGGACAGCAGGCTGTGTTGTAGGAGCCCCGCTTCCAGGATTCCACCCCGAGGACAGGAGTGTAGCCTGCAGGAGTCCCCTGAACTTCCAAAGCAGCATCTGAGCGCGGACTTGCTTGGTCGGTCCGACGAAACAAGGACAGCAGGAGCTAAGGTTGGTGTGTGTGCGCGTGTGTGTGTGATCTCAGAAGCCTGTGAAGAAGGGGAGTCCAACTCCACAGCGAGAGAGAGGGAAGAGCTGAGGCCAGGGAGGGGGAGACGGGCGCACCGCACCGGCGCTCGCGGGCCGGGAGGGCGCGGCTGACATCAAGCCGGGCCCCTTCCCCTGCCGGGTGGGTGGGGCCTGGCGCGGCCGGCGGGCGGGCGGGCGCGGGGTCACGGAGGGGAAGAGGAGGAGCGGGCACGGATGTGTCTGTGTGAGCACCGGGGAAGGGCGTGGGCGTGGGCGTGGGCGGGGGGGGAGTGCACGCGTGGCTGGGGCGCCCGGGCCGCCCCGGACCCCGGCCTCCTCGCGCCCGTGTCGCCCCTTGGATCCGCTCCCGGGACGGGGACCCGCCGGGCGCGGCCTACGAAGAGCGAGAAAGCAAAAGTAAGGCGAGAGCGGCGCTCCAAGTTTTCCCAACTTCGCCCCCTGTGGCGGCGGCGGCGGCGGCGGCAGCGGCAGCGGCAGCGGCGTCCTCCTGCTCCGCGCTTCGCCTCCGAGCTGGAGAGTGGCCGCGAGACGGGGCGAGACGGGGCGGGACGGGGCGGGGCGGGCGGCGGGGGAGGAGGCGGAGGAGGCGGAGGAGGAGGGGGGAAGAGGGGGAGAGGAGTCCGGCCACATCTGTTAAAACTTGGGGGAGGAGGAATGCGGGGAGGAGGAGGAAGAGGAGGCGGAGAGGCGCGGAGAAGCGCGCGGGAGGGGAGCGCGCAGCGGGGACAACTTCTGCACCCCGTGAGTAGCGCGGGCGGCGCGGGTCAGGGCGGGGGGCGCCCGGCGGGATGAGACCTCACTCCGGAAAGTGGATCGGAAGCCCGCAGGGGCGGGCGGGGGGGGGGGGGGGGTTCTTTCTTTCTCTTCTCCCCTCCCTCCTGTGGCGGAACCAAATCAGAACTGTCACTCAGGGCCTGTGAGTCAGAAGGGATCGGATTACAGGATCCCCTGCAACTGATGCCCGAGCTGCAGGAACGGGCGGGAGCGGGCTGGGCACACTCGCGCTCGCGCACCCAGCCGCCTCCTGCGCGCCCCGCCGCCCGAGCCCCCGCACCATGCCCGCGGCGGGCGCACCCCGCGCCCAGCCCCACCGCTCGCGGTAGCCGCAGTCGCCCGTTGGCCCGCGCCCGGGACCGGGTCTATGGGACGCTCGGGGACTTGACAGCCGCCGCAGCGCCGCAGGTACGTCCCGCCCGAAGTTCTTTGTTTTGCTGCCCCGCAGCCGGGTCCCGCGGCCGCGTCCCTGGCCTCCAGGTCCAGAGGTAGTCCCCAGCCGGGGCGCAGGATGGGACGAAAATGGCTGTCACCAGGCGCCCAGATGGAGAGAGCCTCCGTAAAGGTGGCAGCAAGTCTTTCATTCTCTTCCCTCCCTCTTGGAGGTCCCTTCCCAAGCGTCTGCCTCTCCCGCCGTCCAGACAGACTGCAGAATTGCACATCCCGCAGCAGGCGCGAAGTTCGCATTGGTGGCCACTGCGCCCCTCGCCTCCACTCCTCAAAGAGTTAAAAAGAGCTCTTGGAGACCCCGGGCCCCGGGCTCACTCCTCTGCTCTCCAGGGTCCGGGGCGGGGCGCGCACGGCCCTCGGACGCGCGGAGGAGGCGGCGGCGGCGAGGTGGGGACGCGCTAGGGCCGTCGCTGCGGGCACTTTTGCAGCCGGGGCTTCTCTTCCGAGGGCGGGGGTGTGGTGTGAGCGGATGCAGAGACGCGCCTCCGTCTTCAGAGAGGAAAAGTGAAAGTTGCACCATCTGTGTATGATTTGGGATTCTCTTTTATTTCTTTTCCTTTCTAGGAGCACCACACACACACACACACACACACACACACACACGCACACACACCCCGCACGAACAAAGTAGCCGTGGCCTTTGCAGCAATCGTTTGAGCGGTTGCCTTCACATAGAGCGGAATGGGGAATGCATCTCTGCAGGGATAGAGACTTTCTAGAGTTGCAGCACGGAAAATGAGCGGGAGGAGGTGGAGAGGGACCAAATATTGATCCCCGAATTTGGAGAGTTTGTGAAGCGACTTATAAGCAGATTGCTGGATGCAGACGCTCCACTCCATCCCCGGCTTGGCTTTTTATCCTTTTGTGAACTTTGTGCTCACGTGCCCTTTTCTGTAAGATGCCATCCCCCAGGAGGCAGAGGACCTGGGCTTCCCGAGCGGACTCTGTGTGCAGAGATTGTAGAGGTTTCTTCCGCTGCTGTTCCGATCCCGCCCCCAAGTTCCTATCTCCCTGGTGTAGACTGCCGGATAGATTCTGGCCTTGGGTACAGTGCTCATGGCCCTCCGCCAGTTTATATGTACATATATTTATGTAAAACATTTTCTCCCAGCTCTCTGCCAGCTGTTCCACATTTTCCAGCTGCCACATCAGTTTGAAATGATGGACTGTCCGAGTCTCCTAGTAAAAAAGCCCTTTCCTTAGAGACCCGGGGGGCCGGCCCCAGCACACACATGGGCAGTGCCATTAGTATATTTGTTCTAAAAACACTTTAGGCTCTCCTCTCCCTCTTCTCCCCAGTTAGTCTTTGCAGAGCACAGAAACGACACTCGGCTGAAAATTTCAAGTAATGGGGCTTGTCCCTCCTAAATGTGATTTTAGCGGAGGTCTTTTTTTTTTTCTTTTTCAGATCCTTGAAATATGTGTCTGGTGGAAATAAATTAACTTCAGAAAAGAGTTGTGGCTGAGTGCGTTGGGTATGGCTGGTGGGGGGCCTTGCCGTGGTCATCTGAAATGATCTCATTCCAGTGTATTGAAGGCAGGGACGATTCCTCCTCTCCTTGGCACACTTTTTGTGTGGTTTGACTTCTTCCCGTGTTATAGACCAAAGTCTTCAAGAATTGGCCTAAAGTATTAATTTTGGGTATTTATGTAATTGCTCTGTAATTTGAATAGGTGCCTTATTGATTGATTCCTGTAATTATTTCATTTAGGTTTTAAATTAAAAATTAATAATAGTCTGACAGTTTCTTAATTATATGTGTCAAGATTATTTTGAAGGAGGAAAATGCTATGTTTTAAAGTAGTGGAAATAACTCCCAAATTTCTTCATTTTTCTAAAGCAGTGCAGAATTTCATTTGAGGGGATTTATTAAAGCAATGGTGATTGCTTTTAGCAAAGGGAACTGTGTGAAGTATCCTTAGAATTTATTTATGTTAGGAAATAGCTGTTCTTAACGTGATACACAAATACATGGCCAGTTAGATGATAGTCAGACCTAAAACAAACATGAAATAACATTTAAATTAGTTGGAATAGCATATTTATACAGAGCAGAGAGTTTATTTTATGCTAAAAGCTATTTAATTAGAAACTCTCTGCCTAAGGGGAGATCCTTTCAGGAAATATAATTCTTAAAGTCAGCCTAGGGAAGCTTTGGTTTAAGATGCGTGAATGAGTTCAATGTGAGACCTGTCTAGTGAAATTTCACACAAGCAGAAACACTTTAAAAGGTATAGATTGCACTATTGCTAATAGGCTGGTGGCTTTGGCCCTGATGCCTACCAATTCCTTGTGCTTTTAAGATGCTTGTGTTCCTTGATTGAACCCTGATACACACATTTTTATTGTCTGTGTCTCATTTGCAGAGGACCACAGACAGAAATGAGAAAATTCAGCACTGATGAAAAATGGCCCTGTTCAGTTATTTCATTACTTATTTAATGAAAGAATCGTTAATTTATCAATTTGATGCCCCAGCCTAAAAGTTGGACTTGCCTTTGTTTCTTCACCAGTGAAATTTCCTTAATTACCTGTATGCTGTCTAGGTTTCAGACTTCCTCTGGGCTGGCCTTTTAGAGGTCCTTGCTCCTATGTAAGGTATCCTGCTTCTTGAGATCCCCTCCCCCCTAAGCTGAGCGTAGAGTTTGGGAGTTTATGAAAGGAAACAATGTCATGATCCTCTTTGCCTGCACCCACATGGAGACAGCAATGCAGTAAGAAAAACCAGTCTTGAAGGAGAAGTGAATCAATGAGTCATGAAATGTTCAAGAAAACCTTAGTAATGGAATGTTAATGCTTTTAGACTACAGTAGATTATCTTAAAAGTCAGATTTTTCTTCTTTATGCAATTGTTGTAAATCCCCAGCTAAAGAAGTCTTTGAAGGAGGTTTTAAGTTCGGCTGGCATTCGTATTCTCGGGTCATCTGGTGTGTTTTAGAAGATTCAAGAAATTTTCTGCGAACTTAACATCAGGAGAGGCAATTAAACGGCTGAAATGACTACAGAAGAAACAAATACATATATATTTGTTGAGCAAACGATTCTACTCTAATAATGATTTCAGGTTGTCTTCTCATTAATGCCTGGCAGAAGCTGACACCCTTCACTTCACGTTGTCATTTTTCTAGATGAAAATTGATCTGTTCTAGTTTCAAAGCAAATAAAGGGAGACAGAATAAACAACAACAGGGGCAGGAGTACTGCTGCAAACTTTTTCAAGTACTTTCAGTGTATTTTTCATCTTTACTTTTATTTGATGGGCCTGTGAAATAGAGCTGTAGACTGGCGAAGACTTTAAATGAAATTTCACACTTTGATGATTTTTTTTTAACTTTGATATATTGACAGCAAAAGGAGCTGCAAAGCTTTTATATAACTTGAGCAGTAACGCCAAGCAGCAGTCAAATGTCTCCCTGCATTTGTGTTTAACTGCAGAAGAAAAACATGTCCATGGGCAGTGGAGGTTCTTATCAACCCCCTAATCCCAGATCCCAGTAAACCTGGAGGGCATGCCTCAGATCTCACTGAAATCACTGTGGACTCTCACAGTTTGCAGATTAAATATGCTATGTGTTCCTGGCTCCAACAACAGTTTTATGAGCTCTCTAAGCTTCCTGTTTTAAGATCCTTTTCTTAAGTTTTTAGGACGTGCTGAAGGCGATGCTGTGTGGAGTAACTGGCACTTGTTAATTTAGAGACACTTTAGATATTTCGTTCTCTCTTTAAGAATTGCCAAAATTATTATTTCTAAATGGAAAGGCTAATTAATGCCAGGAAGAGGGGAGAAAAGCTGTTTGAAAGAAATCGAATGTTAAATGTGTTTGTAAGTGCATTTGATTGCAAACTTTTACATGGTGTCTCTTGTTTTATGGCATTTTCCTTTGCCCAACCCCTGAAAATTAGACTTTTTCTATTTGTAATTCTAAATATATTATATTTTAGTGCCAAATTTTTAAGTTACTCATTACCACTGTATTTTTTTGTCGTTGTTTCTCCCCCCCTGACACACTTCTTTAATGTGAATGTGTTTTTTGTTCTGGGTGTGTATATTTCAACCCGACAAAATGTCTCAGAAAATCTATGGCTTTCTAAAGGAGCTGAATGAAAAAGCCATTACATAGTTAATAAGGTAGCACTGGAACATTTCAGCCCCCTCCTGAAAGGCAATATT